TGGGCAGCAGGGAAAGCCACTTCTTGAGAGTCACATTTTCCTGGTGACTCACATTAAATAATCAGTGTGGCTTTCACCAAGGCTCCTGGACCAAGATTGACAGCTAATAACAGCCTGGTAATTACAGGAAAACATCAGATTGCAAGGCCAGAGTGTCTTGAAACACCTGAAGCCATTTAATATATCTGTTTGCTCCAGACCAACAGGCTCCCTCCCCCAGCGCAAGGCCAGTGTCATTACTGAGCTAATGGGCATCACATTCTGAGGCACCTTTCCCCCTGCCGAATAAATCAGCGTTTTAAGAAGGGAAGCCATGGGGCTGCTGGCTGCAACTGTGTGCAAGGACATCACCGGGTATTTTAGGCGTCAGCTCTAATTCGGCTTGGCCTGGCCTCTTCTCTTAAGAAACACTCCCGAGGCATCGCTGGGTCACAGGAGAGAATTCCGCCTGCTTTTGCTCCTCCGGCTGTGACAAAAATCAGACCTTGATTTCTTAGCTTGCTTCCTCAAGTAGGAATTGTTCCTGTCACCACCGTGTGAAGGGGTTAGCCATGATAGAAGCTGTCATGCTCCCCTGTCCCGTGTGAGTGTGCATGCGTGCATTTTATCGGATGTTTTATGTTGAGAAAGAGGCCAGGAACGTGATAGAAGGATTAATCTAAATTCTCTAAAACCACCTGGGGCCGCACTGAAGGGTGCACACCTTCTCCTGGGCTCTAGGGCCATAGGAAATGCTTGCAAAGTGACAGAGTGTAAGGGGGCAGCAAAAATATAATGAGTTGCACATGTATGTACACACACATGTTCCCCTGGACAGCCTGCTGGCCACCTGCCTCCCACAAGCTCCCGGGCACCTTGCTTACCCCCTGTGTGGGGTGGTGGAAGGTGAGCCACTGCTCCGGGTCTCTGAGGACTCATTCTCCCGGAACACCTGATGTGCTGTGGATTTTTCTGGGCATTTTTCACCCGATGCCAGCTCTAATGACCTTGGCATCAAGCTCTTACTGGGGATTAATAACTGGCTGGGCTTAATGGCCCTTACTGCGTCCTGGGACATTATTCCAGCCAGCCATTAATTTCGGACAGTGCCCTGAGCTCTAGCCATGATGACGCCACTGTCCTCTCCCGTGAAGACAGGTGTCTTCGCCAGTCCCCTTCCTACTGTACGTCAGAACCAAGACACTCACACTCACTGGCAAGTTGCTGGTTGGGCACCTTTATACCTTCTGCTCCTGTGCATTCACAGGACAGAGAAAATGAGAAGCTGGCAATCTCTCACTCAGCCTTCACTTTCTCTAGTCAGCATCCAGCCCAGCTTGACCTAGACTCACTCTGTAGCCGGGGACGCCCTTGAACTTTTCTCTACAGCCCAAGTGAAGACATTACTGACAGGCACAGCCATGCTGAGTGCTTTATCTGGTGCTCGGGATTTCGTGCAGGGCTGTGTATGTCCTGGACAATCGCTTCATCTCAGCTGCTTCCCAGACCGGTTAACCGCTTTTTAAAGATCAGCATGGGAGACAGCCGAGATCGGAGTGACTTGATGTGGGTGGCCGTACTGTCTACAAAACCACACAGCTGCGGAGCAAATGGACTCTAAGGCTGAATATCGTGAGGAAGAATCCAGACAAGCTGTCTCTCTAGGTAAAAGCTCCATTCAGAGCCCCCGTCCCCGCCTCCATCGTCTGCAGCACTTTGTCTCCCAAGCAGAACCCAAAGTTGGTCTTCCCATGCTCTGCCTAGCGGCCTGTCCACCCCACATCCCATTACACAGACACTGCACCAGGAACCAACTCAGCACCTGTGCCTGCTCTGCCCAGCTCCCTCAGGAAGAAAGAGGGTCACACGATTTGTGTGATTTTCAGCCATTCTGACTCCAAGACATCATTGGTCCTTCCAAATGCAGGAACCAGACTCCGTCTCCTCTTTGGAAGTGGTCCCACCTTCTGTACACGGTCTTCTCAACTGCTGGAAGTGTAACATCACCTGTAGAAGACCAGCGCTGCTCTCACTGGCTCCTCAGCAATGGACACGGAAGGCAGAACTCAGACTTCCCTTGTTGCACCATGCAGCACATGAACTCAGCTTGAAGAGAGGGTGTTAGTGCCGGCCAGGAGCTGGTGGGCAGGGGAGAGAAGGGACGGCAGTCTGGTGGGTTCTGGTTGTGTCTGGCGATCACAGAGGATATGCAAGGCAGGTCTGTCCAGAAGCCTTCTCCGTCCCTGAAAAGATCTTCCGTAGGGAGATGAAAATAAGACCAAGGTCCTTGGAGTGCCCCTGGATGACTGGTGTTTCAGCTGTCAGTCGGCCTCAGCTGTGAGGAGTTAACAGAATAATTACAGGGAAAATGAGCTGCTGGGACCCTCTGCAGGGCCCCCAGTCACAGTCAATAAAGTGGCTGGAAATTCAAAACCAGCATGGAAAGTTCAGCCGATGTGGACTGAGGGTCCACTGAAGTGAACTTTGACGTAATCTGACAGAGTGCTGGGTGGGCTACCTCCAGACAAGGTGTTGTCAGGGAGACCCCTGAAGCCCTTGAAGCAATATGAGCAAGTGACAGTGAGGTTGGCTGCCCCAGAACCAGACGGTCAGACCTTATTCCTGAAGACACCCATGTTTTCATTGGCGAATGCAGAAAGATCTATCTGGAACTGGACCCGAAGCATCCGCTCTGCTGGAGAGCCCTCGTATTGACAGAAAGTTCAGGCCACCAGGGAGAATCATCAATAGTCTTACTTAGCTGTCCTCTGCAATGCTAGAGTGACCATTCAGACAAGATGTGCCACTGATTCAGTAGTGACAAGATCGTTATGGGGATCACCAGTCAATTTCTGATTGGATCTGGGGCCCACACCATGGAGCCAGAGGAAGGATTAGCATTGTGGGTCCCTCTCTGCCACCCATGATGTGGGGTTACATCACAGAGCTAACAGCAGCTCTGAGACGATGAACAGTCCACACCCAGCCGTGGAGGAAGGGAAGGTCTCGAGGCCCCTGCTCTCTTGAGGATCTGTAGGGAGTTAATTATTTAATTATTGAGGGCAGAAAAGACTTTTCTCAGTGGTGTAGCTACCTGGTTAAGTACCCAGGCTCCTGTAAGCAACCCTGAAGAAACTCTTTGCGCTCTCTCTCTCTCTCTCTCTCTCTCTCTCTCTCTCTCTCTCTCTCACTCACACACACACACACGTAGAAAGGTTAGGAAGAGTAAAGAATCAGTGGAAAGGAGGCAAAGGAAGCTAATTTAGGGCTGATATTATTAAGTATACATTATATACATGCATGAAAATTTCATAGTGAAACCTACTATTACATATGATTAATACATGCTAATAAAAAACATAAAGGTAAAAAAGCCAATAAAGTAACCTAATGAAGAAAATGTTCTGAGTTGTATGGTTCCTCGGGGCATATGAAGTATTCATTAAAGGTCCTCAAATGAATGTCAGAGTGAAGAAATGGGTGCAGGAACCAGCATCACAGGGCTACAACTACCTAACTTATTCCTTTTGGTCTTAAAAAATGTAAGGAGGTTAGGGTGCTTGTTCTGAGATCAGACACAGACTCCATCTCCTGACTCCCCCACCCCACCCAGCCCCAGTCCAAACAGCCCCTCTACCTGCAGAAGTTCCTCATTGCCATAAAACGGTCCAGGGACCTTTCCACCAATGGTGATTCTTCACTAAGAACACTCACTTTCCCAGGACTAAGGGGTTTCCCAAAATGCAGGATTTCCAACTCTCACGCCCAGACAAGCTGACGACACTGGGTCAGTCACTGCAGTAAGTGTTAGGGTCCATTCCGTGTGTCTTGTTCTCCACTGTCATCAGCCCTTAGAAGTCAAGTCAAGTCCTCTGCTTCCCCATGCCTACTGTCTCTTTTCTTCGGGGAAGCTGTTTTGGTGCTGGTGATCAACACTGAAGACCACTTTCTACCTCTGTGATTTCCTCCTTCTTAAAAGCACCTCTCCGGTTGGTTTCCACCGCCTGCTCGGTAGCTGATTGTCCACCTGCCTTTTTGGATTTTGTTTCCAAGCACAGTAGTCCATTATCCCGGGACCCAGAGGTGCTTGTCTCAAAATAAACATCCTATTTGCCGTTTTCTTTTTCTTTTGGACTTCCCGACTTTGGGCTCCGGCTCTAATCTCATTGTCTTCTTAGAACACGTAAGAGATCGTTCCCATTAAACACGGGCAGGAGATGTTTAATTTGTTGGCTCTTGGGTGTTCAGAAAGGAAGTCACTGGCTCCAGATGCTCGACTGAGCACTGTCGGGAGCGTGGCCCCTGGCTGGCTTTCCATGCAGGCCATCGTGGGGTGTGTTTGCAGGAAAGAACCCAAGCTCTGCAGTTCCAGAGTCAGGTCCAAGGCTGAGGCTGATAAATGCTTAGCAAGATTTTATTCACATCAGAAAAAATGGGGTAGGCCAGTGTCTGCCCTCCTCCAAACCTTAAAACAAGATCAAATAGTCAGTTCTCCATGTCAAAATGACAGCATTGAATCTTCCTGTCATCGCCATCTGATTCTTAAGCGGCATTTTGTTGAGGGCCATGCGTCCACAGCATCCGAGAGCCGTGATAAAAGTTTAGCTTTGCAACAGGATGGAGAAGGGCGCCAGACCCGAGCCACAGCAATTTGCGGAAGACTCTTTGCTTCGACTTGGGGCCAACTTTGGATTTAGAAAGGTGTAGCTCTGAAAGTATGACTTCTTCCCGTCACCAGTGGCCACCTTACCGGGTCACATGTTCACACAGGGATCTAAGCCCTGAGCCAGTGACAGACAGATCAACACCACCCTTCTGCCTAGCCGCTGCAGTTTAGAAGGAAGCGCAAGGATTCATGCAGCTGCAATGGGCCCAGATATGATCTTCCACAAGGGGGTGGGGAGGATGAGGGGTGAATAAAATAAGGGAGGAGACATCTGAAGACAGGGATGTAACCTGGTGATGCCAAGAAAGGCGATGCCTCTGCCTGACCCCATCTTTCTCCTCCCTCTGCCTTGCAGCCCCTGAAAATGCACTGTACCGACTGCGCCCTGGTAACCAGCTCAGGGCACCTGCTGCACAGTCAGCAGGGCCCCCAGATCGATCGGACAGAGTGTGTTATCCGCATGAATGACGCCCCCACCCGAGGCTACGGGCTCGATGTGGGCAACCGCACCAGCCTGCGGGTCATCGCACACTCCAGCATCCAGAGGATCCTCCGCAACCGCCACGACCTGCTCAACGTGAGCCAGGGCACCGTGTTCATCTTCTGGGGCCCCAGCAGCTACATGCGGCGGGATGGCAAGGGCCAGGTGTACAACAACCTGCAGCTCCTCAGCCAGGTGCTGCCCCGGCTGAAGGCCTTCATGATCACACGCCACAAGATGCTGCAGTTTGATGAGCTCTTCAAGCAGGAGACCGGCAAAGACAGGTACGGGGCTCAGGACAGAGGGAGGCAGGGGTAGAGAGGATGTGTGTTGTGGACAGGTACGGGGCTCAGGACGGAGGGAGGCAGGGGTAGAGAGGATGTGTGTTGTGGACAGGTACGGGGCTCAGGACGGAGGGAGGCAGGGGTAGAGAGGATGTGTGTTGTGGACAGGTTCACTAAAAGCCAAGCTCTGTCTGAGGGTCTGTGTTGTGAGCCTCGTGTTCATGTCATCAACCTCACTGGGACCCACATGTTGGGTCGCCCTAGTAACAGACTGTTCAAGCTGAGTGTACCATGCAGGACGACACGGTGCACAGTGACAATCATTGAGTAATTTATGACCAGGTCCTTATTTTAGAAAAAAAAAAAAAAAAGGCTAAGTGGTCCGTGGTCCACATTAGAAAAAAGCAGGACACAGTAGTTTCATTTCCGGAAGTGGGCAGTACGGGGACTCAGTGTACAAAGTGCTCGCTGCACTAGAATGAGAACCTGAGTGTGGATCCCCTGTATCCACACACAAAAAAAGGGGGGTTGGAGGGCATGGTGGGTCATGCTTAGAATCCCAGCACTGGAAGACAGGTAAATGACTGGGGCCCGGTGTTAGCAACCATAGCCTGCTTGATGAATTCCAGACCAGGGAGACACAAGACAAAGTGGACAGCCCCTGAAGAAAGATAGGCTGACCTCTGGAGTTCACAAACATTCACACACACACACACACACAGAGAAAGAGAGAGAGAGAGAGAGAGAGAGAGAGAGAGAGAGAGAGAGAGAGAGAGAGAGAGGTGAGATTGTTTTTCTCTTTCAAAGACGCACAACCATGCTGTCAACTGTTATTCACTGAAAACCCACGACTCACTTAACACTGCATCTTGCCTCTGCCTCTGGAGAGACTCAAAGACAAGATGGCACCCTCCAAACCCATAGCCCTAGACATTTACCAAGCAGTGACAGGAAGAAAGTGGAGCTGTAACTTGTACGGCAGGAGACAAACTGTGGTTCAGGGCAATGCTTTCCAAAGTGCTCATTAAGACTGGATAAATAACCAGGTGGTGGTGGTGCACTCAGCACTCAGTAGGCAGAGGCAGGTGGAGCTCTGTGAGTTCAAGGCCAGCCTGGACTGCAGAGTGACCCAGCAACAGGGGAGACAGTCCTGCATGTTAAAAAGTTCTTTAACCAAGAACATATTTTATTAAAAAAAAAAAAAAGGGACAAGCAATAGATTTTACAATTAAAGGTTGCTGCTTAGAAATTTCAAAAATAAGCTTAAACTGTCTGTTTCGTAGAAAATTCATTCTCTTTTTGTTTAACGATTGTTCATTAAATTTAAGTCTTCCTACAGCCCCGGTACAGGGTTCATGAGGATAACTGCCCATGGCTGGCTCCTTAAGGGACCACATGCTGTGGGTAGCCTAGAGATTGTACTATCTCACCTTTTGGTCACTTGGGATCCCCAAGGAACTTATCCTACCCTTCCCTAAAGCCTGACCAGTGAAAACCCGCTTAGTAAGTACATCTATGTTGGTCCCGACCATAAGAAGTCTTTGCAGGGGCTGGAGAGATAGCTCAGCAGTTAAGAGTACTGCCTGCTGTTCCAGAGGTTCTGAGTTCAATTCCAGAAACCACATGATGGCTCACAACCATCTGTAGTAAGATCTGGTGTCCTCTTCTGGCCTTCGCAGCCGAGCTCTCTGGCCTCTTTCTGCAGAAGCAGCTCAGTTAGCACTCACCCTACCCCGGCTGGCGGAGTCTCACCTGTGACCCTGTAGCCCACCAAAGCACACCGATCATTCCGAAGGAGCTGTGTCTCTTAGCTCAGGAGCCTGTCTTTTAAAAGACAGCCTTATATTGATGCACTCTTCTTTTATGTTCTTAGTCCTAAACTGGGAGACAGAAAAAAACCTTCCAGAATAGATTCCCATTCGACTGAAACCCAGAGCGTTTGGGTTGAAAAGTATTCTTTCCATGTAAGCTAAAAAATCCAACAGAACAGGAGTGTATGTTGAAGAGGCATCAAGAGTTTAATTTCTAAGCAATCCAAACTCATCACTGGGATATCAGTCCAAGCTAAAATCTTTTTAAGCAATGGGCCAAGTCGGTAGACTTTGATTTATAGAAAATGTTTCCCTTAAAAGAGGAGAGGAGAATGACTCATGGACAATTTGCAGTTAAGAAGCACGGCAGATGACAGAGATGGCCAAATCGTGCTCTTTGATAGTAGAGAGTAACTACACTTGAAAATAACTTTATAATTGAATAAGGGCACATTAGGAAAATATGATTCAGAACCAATATTATAGTAATTACATAAAGGAAGCATAAATGAAATAACTGCAGGAAGAATATTTCCGTTGAGATTATAAATGAGATTCTGGTGGAGCAGAAAGGCCTTTAATTGTAATTTAGTGAGCACTATAGCATTATCTGCTCCGTGTGTTACTTCATCATATAAAAGAATATCTGCTAATTTTCACTAATAAGCACATGACAGCTCTTCATATTCCTTCATTACAGCTGATTAACTGTAAAAACAGTAGATATTCCTTTGTTGGAGAAAAAAAAGTTCAGACTCTTTCAGGAAGACAGAACAAAGCAGCTGCGTTTCTACGACGCGTGATCCCAAGCTATTATTTGGGAAGTCTGGAGAATTTTAAGTGGTACTTAAAAAGAGCCTCACTCCAGTTCCTCTAGCCTCGACTTTGCCTTCTTCCCATGCCTTGCGGCTCCACATCCTCCTGCATTTGAGGCTACGGTTTGTGTTCTATCCCGAATCAGAGGGACGCTTCCAGGGGGTTTCTGCTCCTAGGAAATCCCTGGGAATGTAAGAGCAGGAGATATGACCATGGTCATTTGGTGCCCAGATCTCTCAGGGACCTCTGGGATAAGAGTGAGAGTCGTTTTCTTCCTGGCCTCCACATTTCCTGGTTAGTAATCCCTCAGACTAGTCTGGGAAGAACTGCCCAGAACATTGACGGCAGGGATGTGAGCGTGGGCTCTCACTGAAGCCAAGGCTTTTGCTCCTCTTCCCCTTCTGCTTCCTAAAGCCTATGAATCAACATCCCTGGTGAGAGGGAAGAGTTGGATTCATGCCTCCAGAAACTGGAAGCACTGCCCTGGCTTCTGCTGTCCCTCCTCCATCAGCCCCAGCAGCAGAGGGTGGAGAGGGCTCTCTTCGTGGGTACCACACAGTGCTGAAGGTATCTCCATGTGTCAGGACACCCCACTTGGACCCTTAGTTCTCAAATGGCCAGAGGATGGAGCACCCCATACCTGCTTTGCAGAAAAGACAGCGGGGCTCAGAGGTCAACAGCCACTGCCGCAGGTCATCCAGCCGAGTACGAGAGAAGCAGGAGACAGTCAGGTTCACGTTATCCTCACCTGTAGGAGCTTTAACAAGTCTGGGCAGGAGGCAGAAGGGTGGAGGAAAACACGTTAAAGGCTTAGGAACTCAAAATTGAAACTGTAAGCCAAACACGTCTTAAGGCTTAAGAACTTGGAATTGAAACTGTAAGCCACCCATGTCCGCCAAGCACTTTACAAGGCAAAAGCTTTCTTAAAAGTATTTCCCTGTCCCTGCATGAAGGGACATAAAGCAAACCCGTTAGCAGTCTCCCTTCTCTGTGTGCGGAGCTCAACAGTACATCCAGAAAGCCCTTTCCACAGCTCTGCCATTCCCCTCACATGCAGGAGTGTGGCTGGGCAAAGCCAGACAGTCTGACCTTGGGGATAAGGTGTTTGGAGCTGGCTAATGAGGCATGCCGTGGCATTGAAGAAAGAACGGCGGCAGTCCCCAAAGAACGGACATTGACATCCACAGCGATGGAGCATGCAGACCAGCGTGTCGCTCTCAGGACTCAAGTTAGACCTTGGTGCTGTGTCTCCACAGGTCTCCTCAGGCTGGCATGCTGTCCAGCCCCCACTCAGATGTCTGAACAGACAAGTTAATGATGGCAAAACGCAGACTGATTTCCTTAAACTTGTCGATTTGGGACTTAGACATTTTCAGAAGGCTTTGAGTGCCCTTAGGTAAAGTAGATGTTCTATTAGTTGTAAACATCCCCCTGGCTCTCTTCCTCCACTTTTCCCAAATGCATGTGCTCCTCCTGAGAAAGGACATTTAGTTACGATGCTGGTGTTCTTATTGTGCGTGGGGACAACCTCTTATGGATGGGTGGACACATACATATATACGTACATGATAATGTTTGATAGACAGATGACAGATTGATGAGTGATAGATGATGATAGGCAGATGGCAGAATGAAAGAGAGTGATGTTAGGTAAGTAATAAATGATGGTGGTAAATATTAATAGAGGATAGATAAATGTTAGATACATACATACATACACAGATGGTAGATTATTGGCTATATGAAAAGATAGAGAGATAGCAAGATCTTATGCTTATTCTTAACGATATTGCTCATTATCTAGCTTGTTAAGGGCGCAGGGAGAGTTCCTAGTCAAGTATTCTAACTAATAACAAATTGCCACATGAATATTATCATCTCCCAGTTGAGTTATGACGACACTCACCTAAACATTCCAACAATGATCGTTATCTTTAATGATGTAGAAACCCCTTAAGCATCAACATCATCTATGATTGTGCTATAACAGATTTCAATAGCAAAACTCCAGATGTTTATCAAATGGGAGGGAGAGAAGGAGTGTGTGTGCGCGTTTGTGTGTGCATGTGTGTGCATGTGCGTGCCTGTGCATGTAAATGTGTGTGCTTGTGAATGTGAGTGTGTGTGTGTGACATGTGTGTGCGTGTGAGTGTGTGCATGTGTGTGTGGTGTGTGTGTACGTGTGAGTGTGTGTGAGTGTGTGTGGTGTGTGCATGTGCGTTAGGTTTGGGGGTGATCTTTCCGTAGTCAGCCTTGCTCCAGAAAGGCCCCTGCATGTTTATGGCCCGGGAACTGCTACAGCAGAGTGTAGACTTCACCGTTGTTTCTTCCAGGAAGATCTCCAACACTTGGCTGAGCACCGGCTGGTTCACCATGACAATCGCCCTGGAGCTCTGCGACAGGATCAATGTTTATGGCATGGTGCCCCCGGACTTCTGCAGGTAGGACTGATTCTGCAAGCATTCTTCGTCAGCAGTGCCATGCAGGGCTTACAAAGAATCTGGTTCTGAGCATCGAGCACGAAATGCGTCTAAGTCATCTTCTCCAGGCAACTAATTAGCAAGTCCCAAGTCCAGGCACTAGAAACCGCATTTAATTACGTGATATAAAATACTGAAAGTTTTTGTTTGTACTCCTGGAGAATTAATCCATCTTATGGCCTTCACTTGTCCTCTGAATATTTATCAGCCAAAAGCAATGCAATAATTGGTGTAATATTAATGATGAACAGGCATTAAGAAATATGAGTTTCTTTTTCATTTGGAAGAGTTGCAGTAATTTCTAAATGAATTCATGGGGGAAATTCCTTAGATGGGGAGACTTGTTTTCTGAAATTAATATATTCCTCCGAGTCTCTTTTGCTTATCACATTCTAGCCTTGGTTCACGCACATAGAGTCAAAATCACAGGCACGATTACGCAGATCTATCGCTTTAAAGGCAGTGAGCATACATCTCTGCTGCTTGATGCCTGAAGTCCCCTCCTGACCTGTGCCCAGACAAAGAAGCACTGAGCACTATTTAAGGGCTTGGGTGATGGAAGGTAGTCTACTTGAAAACACAGGTGTAATGTGAGCACTGAGGCCAATCAATTCTGAAAGTGCCTTAGTTTTCAGGAATGCCCATGGTCTCCTCACGATTCACCCCTAATCTTTAAATGGTCAAACCTATGCAAAGCTATGTTATTTATACACATTAAGCAAATGTATGCTTGCCTATCCTTTCATTATTTTAAACTTAAAAATGCCTCAAAGGTCTTGGGTCTTTTGGCAAAAATTATACTTTGAATATATACAACAAGATTGAGGAATGAGGAAAAGTACTTAGTCGTATATCTGTTAGCCTTGTCTCTCTTCCTAAAACATGCCACACGCTGGGTAGTGTACAAAGAGTAAGAGTTTATTCAACTCAGGGTTCTAGAGGCTGGCCTGTTCAAGATAGAGGTTTGTGATGGGTCACAGCCAGGACATAACACAGTGTGAAGGTTAATCTCTGTCAAGATGACCGAGGGGGTTGAGTTATTCTCTGAGTATGTCTTTGAGGGTATTTCCCTGAGAGGATTAACTGAAGAGGACAGAGCAAGCCCATGGACTGTGGTCCAGGTAGATAAAAGGAAGCCACCTGAGTCCGAGCGTTCCCTTCTCTCTGATCCCAACCTACAGGATAGGAGCTGTTCTTTTCTGGTACATCCTCCTCGCCATGATGGCCAAACCTTCTGAATCCAGGAAGTGAGATAAATCTTTCCTCCTTTAAGTGTTCCAGTCAGGTGTTGTGGTCATAGTGACGCAAAACCAGACAATAAACATTACGAGAGGGGCATAGACAAGAGACAGAAAGCGGCTCTTGTAAAAGACCCACTTCAAGACCATCCAAGGATCCAAAATTCTGTCATTTGTTCAGAAGGACTGCGCCCTTGTGACCAGACCCAGCCTCGTCACAAGTATCCTCCCTGGTCTTTTCCTCTTGCTTTCTAGAAGGTACAGGGTCTCCCTATGTAACTCAGTCTGGTCTCAAACTCCCCATACTCCTACCTCAGCTTCCTGAGTACTGGGATTATAGTTATGCACCCTCATGCCTGGTCACCCTCCCCCCAGACCCGCAAATGTAACGATTAAACTCCAAGGTTCACTGCGGAGTCTGCATTCAAGCCGTAGCATGTCTGTTACCACGGTGCCACATTTTCCTTACTAACACAACAATCCAGCACAATGGGCTCCTTGTTGGTATGTAAGAGTCAGTCACAGAAGAGAAGAAAAGGCACGGACAGAGAAACCTTGGGCATGCAAGCACCCCACACCACGTCCAGACTGCAAGGTCCAAGCCCAGCATGGATGAGCCTAAAGCAATGTTGAGCAAGTCACCTCATTGCCCTGTGTCTCAGCCTCTTCGACTATAGATGTGGGTGCATTGATAATAGAACCCACCACAGAGTGTCATGGCTGGAGTAAGTAAACCAGTGTATGCCAGCTGTCTGGAAGGATGCCTTGCGAGGCACGCTAGCTTGGGTCCTTATCCAGCTCCTGATCATTGACGTCATTGGCATTGTTTCTCTGTTTAACTGTTGAGGTGCAAGAAAAAGGTAGAACGGCATAGCAAAGCAAGCCGGCTCCTCCAGCCAACAGTCTAACAAAAGATATGCAAGGTGCCACTGTCAAAGCTGATATCATCATGTAATATCACCATTAGGATGCCAGGAAGAAAAAGCATGAATAAATTAAAATGTTAATGGCTTCAAGTGTTCAAGGAACTATATCATTTATTATGGAAAACAAACGAAAGGCAAGTTAACCTGTCATTTCTCTTACGCCCAGGCAGTTTCTCATGACATCATGTTCGCTAGGATGGAGCCAATCTATAGAATGATATTAACAAGGGAATTAAGATAATGCCAACAAGCCATGTGTTGCCTCCAGCTCTGGACTTCGGCTCCTCAGCTGTCACTGAAAAGGTTTGGCCATTGTCTGACCAAGCTGCTCTGAGCAAAGACTGTTCAGAAGCGTCCTGCCCAGGTTATGTCTCAGAGAGTGGAGTGTCAGGTGGCACCAGTGGGCAGGGATGGGTGCTCCTGGGAGCCTCTCCTCTTAGTCATGGCTGTTGAGGGAAGAGTAGGAAGATGTCTTCCCATCGTTGTGGCAAAATCCCAACAACAGCAACCTAAGCAAGCAAGGGTTATCTTAGCTCACAGTTTGGAGGTACAGCACATGCTGGCAGGGAGTCATGGAGACAGGAGCCTGAGGCCTCTGGTCACCTTGTATCCACCGGAAGTAGAGATGGACTCAGGGGCTCAGTTCAGGGACCAACCTGTAGGACAATGCGAACCACATTCAGGGTGTGTCTTCCCGTCACAACAAACCAATCTCAAAACTCCCTCGCCGATAAGCCAAGAGGTCTGTCTGCTAGGTTCGTCTAGACCCTTTCAAGTTAGTCATTAGTACTAGCCACCACAGTGAGAAGACAGAGGAAAACACAGACTCATGCCTATCCCCACCCTTTATTGTCAAGGTATGCGGACCCAGTTCCCACCTGTGTGACGTTGAGCCTGGCTTCCCTTCTGTAAAGTGCACAGGAGACAACAACAACCAAACAAGCTGGCTGAGGAGAGTATGATAGTGAGGCCAGCGCCCTGCACACGGTGCCGAGGAAAGATGATCGTATAGCATTAATCTTACTGATAAGATCATGATGTAAGACATACAGGTCGTTGATATTCTCCCAGGCATTATTTTGCAGTTACCTTCAAAGATATCAAGATTTTTGGCGGAAGAGTCACAGAATAGGACTCAGCTCTGCTATCTCGGCTGCTCACTCACCTAACCCACATCAGACTATGAGCATGGGGCGTCCCTTGCGTGTGACTATGAAATGGCATTTTCTACAGTCCTCGCCTAAGGATCAAATGCCTTTTGGAAATGATATCTTCCTCAGAGAATTAAAAGAAAAAAAAAACCAACCTATAAGTCTGTCTTTCTCTAACTGGACCATTGTGATTTAACTTCATTTTGAAAGTAGCTGAAGAGTAGTAAGGACCCCAACACCACACACGCACCCTAAGCTGCAAAAGTTAAGATGCATTGTATCACAAGGTTAATAACAGTTTGGCCTGGTTTGTGTGGCAGTGGCCCCCGAGCTGGCTGAATGCCCCAGAAGGTGACCTCCGCATGGGCAGTCCTGTGTGTCTGATGCCATGCCTGGAGCCCCAGGGTGCCTGGCAGGGGGTGCTTACTCTTCTTCACACAGCAGGTGCTTTTTTTAAAAAACAATATTTATTATGTATACAATATTGTCTGTGTGTATGCCTGCAGGCCAGAAGAGGGCACCAGACCCCATTACAGATGGTTGTGAGCCACTATGTGGTTGCTGGGAATTGAACTCAGGACCTTTGGAAGAGCAGGCAGTGTATCTCAGAGGTTTCAGCTCTCAGGTCTATAAAATGCTGGTGGCATCAGCACTGGTCTTGAGAATCAGTGATGAGCCCACTAGTAATGAGCTCAGCACCATCCTGAGGTTACAGAGGGGAAGTATTCACTAGTCTGAAAATGGGGGACCCACGGGCACAGAGGGGAGCTGGGTCCTGGAAGGGAAGGACACAAGTGATCTTCAGTACGAGCCGGGTCTCATTTCTGCCCCACTGACAACTCCACACATAAGGCTGCCAGCTACATGGAGACTATCACAGGCTGCTCAGAGAACTAGCCCTGCTCTGGCTTCTCCAGGTTCCCACAGCTCTCACCATGACACCAGACCTCAGCAGCTGCTCATTTTCACAATCAACTGCTTTAGACCAAGACGCCATAGGCACCTTCAAAAGAGGTCATCCGTTAAATTAATCACAGAGACTTTTGTTCATCTCGCTAACCAATGTGGGGTGCTAGGGAGGTGATGAACGATGAATGAGCCTGGGTCTCACTTCAGGGCCTGGATCACACTTGATCAGAGTTTATCTGTGAAGGCCAGGTTAGTGGTGCCTGTGGAGAAAATGTTCACGCACCTGTCAGGGCATTCAGCCTCTTGAGCTTTTCTGAAATATCTATCCTTAGTTTTTCACCTGAAGTTGGAGGAATCTTTCCATTCCTGGGGTAAGGACACTCCCTCCTCACTTAGCCAAAGGAAGACCCTCCCAGACCTGTAGAAAGGGCTCTTGTATAAGATCCCTCTACAACCAGAGATCTCCTGACAAATAAGAGGTTTGATGACCTCTCTAGACTGAGATACAATCCCTCTGCTTTCCAATCTAAATACAGCATTCGTGGGCTTCTTAGGACAGTGTGATTGTCACTTCCTTGTTGCCAGGAAAACTGAAGCCCAGAGGGACAAAGGCTTGCACTGACTCTAATAGTTAGACCAGCAGCCGGGATGGGAGCAACTCCATGGGTCAGCAGCCTTCTGCATGGTGCCAGAGAGGAATGTGGGGCTTGGGGTGGGGCTAAATTTTGAGAGGCAGA